GTATTGATTTTTCTTGAATCTTCCCACCGTACTTGCCACCCCCATTGAGAAGCCAAGCCAAGCCTGGGTGTTTAATCACTGTAATACAATATTCAGAATTTTAGAAATCATGTGGAACGCATCACCCCCAAACTTGCTTATGGCCTGACACTTCCATCATAAGTGACTCCTTTGCATGATTTGAAATACGGCCATATGATATGTATTCATTTCAAGCTGTTTAGCATTGGAAATGCATACCTAGATTCAAGTCCATTTAGATAGTTGCAAACAGGAACCAAGAACTTCTATTTACATCTGAACTTCTTTTTTTAATCCAGCCATTGAGTCGATAAATCCTTCCAGCACCTTGACGACACTCCTGCCCATCACTGGTACCTTTTGTGTATGTGACAAAGTACAAGTAGAATTTTGCTGCTTGCAGACAGAAGGTGGGGGATTATAAGGTTCATTGAGGACGCAGCAAAAGGAAGCTTTTCCATTTCCTTTAGAAATCATGATGTGAAAATTCTTTCACCTGGGTTTCATACCGAGAAGCACAATTCACTGATCTTTGATGCCTCTCATTTGCCAATTGAAAAGCATCATGAGACTTGCACACTTGAGTTGCCAAGGTGGTTTGTGTGTTCTAGCAAGGCTTTACCTAACCGTATGCCATTAGATCTAAGAATCTAGTCCAGGCATGGGGAACCTCAGGCTGAGGAGTCAAATATGGCCATACAGGCCTCCCTAAATGGCCCTCAGAACCCTCCCACACCCCTCCCTAGTTATACTTCATACTCTGACTGCTTTTTGTCTGCCTGGAATGTTTCCTTGAACTCTGAGAATGCTCCTTGGATGCCTGGATGGCAAACAAAGAGTGGTGTGTGACTGGGCATGTGTAGAAATCAGCCTACTGGCATAAAGGTTAAATTTACAATCGTTGCTCTGCCGCTTTTGCATCTGGTCCTACCTACCGCTGGCATTTGGCCCCCAGAAGGTTGCCTAGGAGAGAAATGTGGCCCTTGGGCTGAACACGACTTGCCGACCTTGACCTATGGCCCTGCAGTTGCATGTAGTCTGTGTGCCTGGAACGAAATCAGAAATTTGAGCCTGTGTCGTCCACATTTTTAATCAGTGGTGGTGCAGAAGCAATTAACCATCTGAAGATGGGAGAATCATTAGGGATGCAGGGATGCTGAGCTTGTGTATACAAACACTTTGACTTATTGGGTTGATGTTATGCCTTCATTTGTACTTTGCTCTGTATTTCAGATTATTGTGCCTTGCGTGGTTTCACAGTTGCTCTATATTCTGCTCCGTCGACAGCAATAAATTGATGATGAATTCCAGGAGCCAAAATTGATCAAAGCTGTGCGTATTTCAGGATGGACAGAGCCCTCTTCTTGCAGTCCGTGCTAGTTTTGCCACGGCTCATCCATAAGTCAGTTCTGTCCTCTCTCTGTGTAAATCTGCATTAAAATAAAAATAAAAATCTGTGTGAAAATGTGCATTTGAAGTCTTATTTAAATATGTACTTTATCACATGTTTTCTCACAAGGTACATTTAGGAATGCTTATTTTATCTCAGTGTACACCTTTCTACAGATATGTTGGATGCTAAATTATGCATTTAATAACAAATGTTTGAACCGATGGTGGTATCACCCATTTCAGAGCAGTGTGGAATCTAAAAAAGTATGTTCTCATCAGCACATCTGTCTGGAAGCTGGAGATCGGGTCAGTTTGCATTGGAATTCACTGAGTTGAATTCCTCAAACATGCTTAGTTTTAGAAATGGCTACAAATGAAGGGCTCTCTTTTTGATAACTTCCCCTTTTTAATTCAGTGTTTTTTATCTAATCATTGGGTAATTATTAACAATAATCAGCAATGCTGCTGCACAAAAAACCCACAACTTTCAGATCATAAACTGCAAGAAATATGACTTAGCATAAATTTATAGTATTTCTTCCCCCCAAAAAATCCTCTCATAACCTACTTGAATTTGCTTTCACAGGAGATAATTATTTTCTTGACAATATTCTATAAGAGGCAACCAGTTTTTGAGGAATTTATTTGGATATCCTCTTGCAAATCTTGCTTTTAGATAATATGTTATTTATGCCATTATAGCCAAATCCCAACCTTTATCAAGCCATTTCCCCACATGAAGGGAGTAATGTAACATTCCAGTTTTGAGCCATCAACATACAAGCAAATGTGAATAGGTAGGATGTAAGTTCCTTGTGCTTTTTCTTTATGATAAGAGAATAACTGAAGAATCCCTTGCCTCAGGAATTTTCAATAGTTGTTACCAAAACTGACTTTATTTCCTCACTTTCAAATTCTCTGGGTGAGAAGAAGTCTCCATATTTGCTCCAAGATTTCTATTTGATAACATTCAGTAGCTGCACTAATTTTAAGCATCATTCCACATTGGGCCTAGTAAGTAAGAATGTGTGGTATTCACAAAAAACAAGCAAATCAGGTCTTCACTGAAACCAGTTTGAAGGACCACTGAAGTAAGCCCCTCTACCACTTGTTAAACCCCTCTACCACTTGTTAAACCCCTCTACCACTTGTTAAACCCCTCTACCACTTGTTAACTGGAATTTCCCCCAAATCTCATCCCCTTCCCTGGGGTGTACCTGCTTAGCCAATTTTGTCCCACCTTGTATAGATAGGTACCCAACTTTTCAAAGAGACATATTGCATTTAAGTTAGTCAGAATACTCACTGGAGTATCCAGACTCACTGGAATTAGTGGACATGACTAATGTAGGTCCATTAATTTTAGTGGTTCTGCTTAGAGTAGAACTTCCTTGGAGAGAAACTTTTACACTGGTCCTTGCTGAATTTCATTTTAAACAATGGGGTGTATTTAATACCCGCATTCTACTAGTGCAATATTTAAATGCCTGCACATCCCCATGCCCTCCCCCAAACTGCCCCAGAGGATTGGGGAAAACCCTAGAATAGATTTAGGGGGGGTGTATGGGGAGGAGAGTGGTGAGAAGTTCCATTGTTCCGGCAGAAATACTTGTGCTAACAGACTGAGAGATTGAGAAGAGTCGCTGCTTTTGAGCCTGTTCCCTAAAGGGCTTTGTGATCCCTCCTAATGTGTTTATGCAAACCAGGGAAATTAGGGTTGTGAGAGAGAACGGGGGTGTTTGTCCTACACAGCTGCAAAATAAGGGGGGGGGACGCAATGTAAAGCAATCAATTTTCCTCCATGATAGATCCATAAATCTCAGCCTTCTGTCAATGCAGCTAATGATTTGTGACATTATGGATTAAAAAAAGAGAGGGAGGGGAGAGAATCCAAAGTCTTGTTACAATTTATGTCGTTGAAAACAACGTCAACAAAGTCATAAAATCAAGGGCGAAAAGAGCAGGCAGATCAACGCAAAACGAGGCAGACTGACATCAGTGCAAGTTAACTGGCAAATTAGAGGAGGGGGTTGACAAACATTCAGTAGGGATACAATTCTTCATGTCTGGAGGAAACCTATCTCTATATATCAGAGATACAAGATGAGCAGTTTCAGAAGGCAACTGTTAACAGTTCATCCTTTCCACACATGTCCACTCAGAAGTAATTCCTGCAGGAGGTGTGTGTCTGTTCCTGGGGCACAGAGCAAAACACCAAGACATGTGCCCCTGTGTTCCACATCCCCTAGCAGCATCCATGCACAAGGGGTTTCTCTGTGACTCAGCCAGCCATAGGGAACCTTCTGTCTCTCATTTGATATTCCCAGCCCAATGTCCGACTTTGTAGCAGCTATCTGAATAGTCTTCAAAAGTCAACATCATATTTTTTTAAAAAGGAGTTACTGATTTAGGATTATGAGAACTTTGGGTGGCATAAATCAGTTCCAAGCTAGCTCTAAAAGGAGGGATGTGTGGATGTGTTTGTGTGTACTCAGGTATTCTGCTTCAAAACTGTGACTTTCTAGCCAAGCATCAGCAAGGAATGAATGTTTTATAGTCAAGTTGGCTTCGATAATGGGAAGGCTGAGCACCTTTTTAAGGAGCCTTGGGATGTCCTTTGATTCACTGTCCTGAAAGCCTGCCTGCGTGTTGCACCCTTTCCCCCGGAGAGTCAAGAATGAGCTTGGTGCCTGTCATCCATCGCAAAAGGATTGGCAGGGAGGAGAGGGAGAGTGGCTCCTCCATTATTGATAACTACCGGCTTCTTTATGCATCTGAAATCAGAGTGCTACTTAAATTAAGCCTTCCTTTGCCTTCTCCCCATCTTGTTTGTCAAAATGAAGACAAACGAAGTGGTGGAATGAATGCTGCAGTTAGCACTTTTCAATAGGGAATGCGCTGATGGCTCTGTTTTGATGGAGAGAGAATCCTTGAGCTCTTTGTGTCTACAGAGATGACTATATATATCACACATAAATCAGGAATGCATGCTGAGTGTGGATCCCTATGCATTACTATTATTGTTATTATTTACATTTTTATCCCACTGTTCCTCCAAGCAGCTCGAGGTGACTTACATAGTTCTCCTCTGCACCATTTTATCCTCACAGCAACCCTGTGAGGTGAGTTAGGCTGAGACTAAGTGCCTGGCCCAAAGTCACCCAGTAAGCTTCATCGCTGAGTGGGTATTTGAACTCTGACATCCCAGGTCCTAGTCCGACACTCTAACTGCTATGCCACATTGGCGTAGCCAAAACAGCACCATCCACACAGGAAGTTCCCTTATACTGAGTCAGTCCCTTGGTCCAGCTAAGTCATTATTGTCTACACTGACTGACAGCAGCTCTCCATGGTTTCAGATGGACAGTCTTTCCCAGCCCTATGCTGGGGATTGGCCCTAAGATCGTCTGCATGGAAAACAGATGCTCTACCACTGAACTATGATCCTTTCCCATAAGAGGGAGGTATCACAGGGAAAACCCCAAGTTATGCAGAACCGCAGAAACAACATGACTAGCAGACCACAGGTTGCATGCTAGCTTAATATTAGGGAATACAGGTAGGGTTCTCTCCCAGCCTTAGCTACCTGGAGATGCTGGGGATTGAACCAGGGACCTTCTGTGTGCAAAACAGAAGCACTACCACTGAGCTATGGCCCTAGAAGGGGTTGGGAATTAGCACACTGCCCACTACATTGCTTTGCCTTCTGTTGCCTGAATTTTAGAGTGAACAGCAAGCCCAGGGCACATCACAAGAAAGTGGGGTGTGCTGCAGATCCAGATTAACCGGGAGATGGCCTTTTTACAGGACCATCTAGAGAGCATCCTGACAATGCTAAGTGCTTATGTACATGGAGGAGGTTACCCTTGTTCCCTCTGTCAGAAGACCTAATTGATCAAACAGTCTCAGGTGCCCTTTAATGAGCTGCATGAAAATCCATTTTTGCTCGGCATCTGGCTCCATCTCCTGAATTAAACAGCTGTGACCTGGAGACCCATTGCTCCTACTTGGAAATGCTTCCCCACCCCCACCTTGCTTTCTCTCCTTTCCACCCACCTTGATAATTACCTACCATTGAATATATGTGTGGGCATCCTGCCAGCCACTTAGGGCCCACGGAGGGTGACTTCAGGAAAGGTGTCAGAGACAAGCTGCTTGGCAAGTGATGGAGAGGCAAAACTCTGGTGCAGTAAATGCAAAGTGAAAAGAGCAAAGCTAAAATCAGCTTGGTGGGGATAGGGAAGCAGGGAAAGTTCAGAGCCTGCAGCCTGTCTTTGGGCTGAAAGGCTAGGCTCTGGTGTTCTTACGTTTGCAGCAGTGGGGTCACCTAACCCAGGAGTGGGCAACTTCAGGACCAGTGGCTGAGTGTAGCCCTTCAGATAGCTTTGTATGACTACATCCCACACTGGCTTTCCTTTGCACCCTGGGGTTTTTTGCCTGGTTGGAATGTGACCTTGAACTCTGACAGTGCCTCTTGCATCCCTGAATGGAGGATAGAGAAGGGTTTGTGCACAAACCAACCTGTTGTACAAAGGCAGAATTAGTCACTGCTGCTCTGATCACTTTTGCTTCCAGCCTCACCCAGAACATGCATGTGGGCCTTGGAAATTTGCCTAGAAGGAAGTGAGGACCTTGGGAGGAAAGTGGTCTCCCTTGGCTGGTTTAAGAGAAGGCTCATAGCTCAGTGACAGAGCAGAGCATTGCATGCAGGAGGGCTGGAAAAGTTGCCTGCCTCTATGTGGGAGTCTAATGTGGATTGTAGCCTTGGTTTTGTGGAGCACCATCCCCCTTCCTCCTGAGAAGACTATCAATGCCTTTTGAATGGCTGGAATGCAGCCTTCAACTCTCACCATGCCTCTTGCTTGCAGGGACAGAGGATACAGAGGGATGTGGGACCATGTGTAGAAAATAGCCTACTACTGCCAAAAGGTAGAATTCACAGTCATTGCTCTGCCAACTTTTGCTCTGGCTCTGTCCACTACTGGACCCTGGGAAGTTCCCTGGAATGGAAGTGATCAGACTGTATCAGAGCTTTATACCTTATTCACCTTAACCTTTATCCATCTACCAGATCACTGAGTTTCTCCTGGAAGTTCCAAAGATCTCAGAAGCCCCCTCCGCAGTAACCCAGAGCAGGGCTTTTAGCGTGACTGCCTCTGTTCTGTGGAATAACATTTTGGTTGAGATAATGACAGGCACCCACTATCTGTACTTTCCAGAAACAATGGAACACATTTTTGCTCTGGCAGAGTTTCCCAGTAGGAAGAATGGGTCTTTACCGCTAGTGTCCCTTTGGTAGGTTTTTGGTCTTGTTTTAAATGCATTTGCTTCTGTGTATGCTACTAGTTCATGGTGGCTGTGCTCTGCATCCATAGTTGGAGGCAGTAATGCTATACCAATTGCTCAAAGCCACAGCAGAGGCTCCTGTGATCCAATCCTGCTTGCAGATTTAGTTGGCTACTGTGAGAACAGTGTGGTGGACAAGATGAGCTGTTGGCTTGATCCAAAAGACTCTTCTTATGTTAGTTATCTTATGTGTAAACCACCTCGAGACGGTGGTTTAGAAGACAATTCATAAATCAACAATAGCAACAGCAGCAGCAGTAATGAGAAAATGAAGAAAGGACCTGTTGGTGTCTGCCTCTCTCCCATCCTCTTGTGCCCCTAAGAGTCAAGCACATGTGCAGAGCAAAATTGCAGCATGAGAAAGGATACCTGTTTCCATCAACCATTTCCTCGTGGGCAAAGGCCATCGGAAGCGAAAAGCGAAAGTATGAAATGCAGAGCTGCAAATAACTCCCCCACCCATATACTAAACAGGTTCTAAGTGACAAAAGTCAGCCAATTCCCAATTTATTTCTGAAAGGCATCAAGAAACGGGAGCGCATCTCTGTTGGTGCAAAATGCCGGGTTTTAGATATTAAATGTGATTTTGCCTCCAATAAGACCATTTATCTTCTCCCTGTCTCTCTCCCTCATATGACAACTGAGGGTAAAGAAGAAAGCAGGAGGCTGTCAAAGCTCTGTTTATTTAAACACGGCGCAAACCCCTGCATGGTGCTTTCTTATCCTGCCACCAGCTGTGGCTGACTTGCAACTGACAGAGGGCATGGCAGCGAGACAGAGCGCTGCTGGCGACGGTGTCATTTCCGCTAAGAATCTTCAAGCTCGTTTCCTCTAATCTCTGCCTTTCTCTGAAAAGTGTGACTGAGCCCATTTAATGAATTCTTTTATGGGATCATAATGTGGGAGACATGCACTCCCGTGACATGATGGTGATGCGTGTTGCTTCATTTCCGCACAAGGGTGGGAAAATTGTGGTCTTGGCTTCAGATTTTCAGTTTCCTCAAAGATGACAGTTTGGATATATCTACAGTACCTCGGGGTAGGGCAAACTTTCTGGTGCTTACCGGCACATTTGCAAATAGAAAAGATTGTAGCGAGTACCTTACCCAGAAGGGGGGGGGGATTTGGTTCCATTCTCATTGAAAGACAAATCTACCTAATTTCCAATTCCTGGACCAACATGTGAACCAAAACACAGCTATCCTTTGAAAATTCCTTCTCGGTAGTGGCACCCACCCTGTGAACGCCCTCCCACCAGATGTCAAAGAGTAAAACAACTACCAGACTTTTAGAAGACATCTGAAGGCAGTCCTGTTTAGGGAAGCTTCTAATGTTTAACAGACTATTGTATTTTAGTATTTTGTTGGAAGCCGCCCAGAGTGGCTGGGGAAGCTCAGCCAGATGGGCGGGGTATAAATAAATAAATAAATTATTATTATTATTATTATTATTATTATTATTTGCAGTCCAGTGAATTTCATGGCTGGAAATGGCTGCAAAAATGCATACATTCATTAGAATAACACACAAAAATACATTCTGTTAGACACAATTATGTACAAAAATGTGTGTGCTAGGAGACATTTACACTGAAATGCTGAAGAATTCTCACGAGGACTTAAAAAAAATCATGAACTGATGTGGAAATATAAAAAACTGAACTTATGACAGGAAAAATAATAAACCAAGAGAAATGGACAGATTTGCCAGTCCCCATGGGCAGCACAAAGTCGCTGTAATCAAGTATGCACACTGTAGTCCATATTATTTGCTACAGTGAGATGCATCTTTCAAGCCTAATTTTGGCAGCAGGAGGTGGGGAAATAGATCCCATGGGTATCAGAGAAGGCCTCTTCCGGTGCAGATGCACCCATGGGTGCCAGTGGTACCCCCTGACCTATCATCACTTTATTCCAGGCAAGGAAGGAGGAAGAAGCAGAAGGACATAAGAGCAGCTCTGCTAGGACAGTCTCCTGTCCTGCAACTTGGCTGATAATTCAGACAGGGATATGATGCTGGGCAGGAAGAATATGTGACCCCAAACACAGCTGTCCTTTGAAATTCTCATTTCTCTGAATTTTGCAATACAGGTCTCTCCAACCAAAAAGGAAAAGGAAACTGCTAGCAAAAAAGTACTTCTTAGGGGAAAGTGCACACAAAATCACTTATATTCATAGAACTAAAGAGTAAGAATACTACATATGAGGGGAAACTGTTGCATAACTTAATAAAAAACAAAAACGGACACATTAGGTGAAACAGACCAAAAAATATGCATGAATTTTTCATGAGTGTTATAAAAATAAATAAATTGAAAAGCAATGTGGAAATTGGAAGAACTGAGCAGATGATTAGAAAGAATAAGAACAGAATTATTTGGAAAATAATGAAATTGGAGAGAAACTAGAATTGCCCATCACTGTCACCAAATTGTCTTCAATGGCAACAAGACAATCTTTTTTTTTTTAAAGGCACACAACTTCAGTCCTAATTTTCATGCCTGTTCTCCAAGAAGACAAAGGTTAACCCCTGGCCACTGAACCAAGGGAGGTGTCATGGCCTTTACAATCAGGCATTACCAAAGAACTCCCATGCCATCGAACCCCAGAATGAGAGGACCTATCCAGTAGCGGGGATGGATTTGCTATCCATGAGCTGGGAACAGAGACATGAATGGAGCTCAAAGGCTGAGTGTCTTTTAAAAAGAGAAAGCATGGAAGGCTTAGCAACCTCTTCAAGGTCTGGTGGTGAGAGTCAGTGTCGTGAACTCACATCTCTGTTTCCACTTCAAATAGTCAGTGCAAACTTAAGCGACAATGAAGCAACACTGCTATGCTGACCTTGGCTGTCCCAGTGCTTGGCCCTGGCAGCTCATGTATCTTCCCTTTAGCTACATGCTAACAAATACTTAACACCTGACAGCATGCTGCATACTTTTGCAAAGGACAGAATCCCAGCAGCCAGTGTTTGGGTTGCAGCATTTCAGACTTTCTAGTTTAGAGAAAAGGGACACGGGTGGCGCTGTGGGTTAAACCACAGAGCCTAGGACTTGCCGATCAGAAGGTCGGCGGTTCAAATCCCCGTGACGAGGTGAGCTCCCATGGCTCAGTCCCTGCTCCTGCCAACCTAGCAGTTTGAAAGCACGTCAAAGTGCAAGTAGATAAATAGGTACCGCTCCGGCGGGAAGGTAAACGGTGTTTCCATGCGCTGCTCTGGTTCGCCAGAAGCAGCTTAGTCATGCTGGCCACATGACCCCGGAAGCTGTCTGCGGACAAATGCCGGCTCCCTCGGCCAGTAAAGCGAGATGAGCGC